CTTTAACCTAAATTCTACATTTATTTCCACCTTAAACATGTACTTTTAAGAGGAAATTATTTCATTTATATTTTTAATTCATACTAAGTATGAATATGCTTTATGGCAACTTATCAGTGGTGAAATTTCTTTTCCTGCCATTCACTTTCCTGTTTATTTACTCTATTCATACTCTAATATCTTTTTATAGAAATTGTGTAGCTCCATTTACCAGGTTTCAGTTTTGAAGAAGAAAAGGTCATCTATCTGAAAAAAGTTATGTGACATAGGGGTTTGTGCTATGTTCCAGGCAGATGAAATTTTACACCTGAATTTAATTGTTTTCTGATAAATTCTATTAAAGAGGTCATTTTTAATGGTTTGTTTTACAATGTAAGGACTGTCTTTTCTTGGCTGCTATGAAAAAAGTGTCCTCCTATGTATTTGCCTTGTCTGTGTAATTCTTCCTTAAACCCTGCCTTTTCTTCTCCTTGAAAACAAACCACTTTTAGGAAACTCCTAGTAAGAACCATAGCAGATCGTTCTACTATTCCAAGCACAGGATTTAAAGTCTGTACCTCATGTGAGCATCTTTGAAGACTACATTTTTTGCTTGGTCTTTCAAAGGTCTGCAGCACCTAAGTTGACCTAGGTTTGCTATAAAAAGGAGTTGAATTTTTGTTTCTAATTCTCCTTATCTGTTGTATGATTCCAAGGGAGAGAAGGGGAGAGATGATCTTACCTCTCTATAATCAAATCAAAATTACCTCTCTATAATCAAATTCAAATCAAATCAAAGTACATTTTCCTTGAATTATTGTGTAAATTTTCAAACATGCAGAAAAGTTTAAAGAAATGTATAGTTCCCCCAAACACATTATTAATTAAAGATCAATCTTTATATATTATTATCTTTACTACTTCTTGAGAAAATAATTATATGCAGTGAGATGCATAAGTCTTATTGTATAGTTTTATGAGCTTCTGACAAATAAAAACATTGTGTTCTCATACCCAGATCAAAGTACATTTCCATCACTACAGAAAGCTCACCATGTCCCTTTCTAGTCAACCTCAAAACATAGCCTCAAGAGGCAACCACTCTGGGGTATTTTTTTCTCCATATAGTTTAGTTTGGCCTGTTCTATAATTCATATAAGCATAATCACACAGTATATATTATTTTGTGTTTAATTCTTTTATTTATAATATTTTTGAGATTCATCCATATTATTATAAGTAGTTCATTTCTTTTTATTGCCAAGTTATATTTCATTATGTAATTACTATTGGCCCCGTGCACGAAGTTCATGCATGGGGCAGGTGTCCCTCAGCCCAGCCTGCACCCTCTCCAATCTTAGACCCCGCAGGGGATGTCCGCCTGCCAGTTGAGGCCACAGGGATTGGGCCTAAATGGGCAGTTGGACATCCCTTGAGGGATCCCAGATTGGAGAGGGTGCAGACTGGGCTGAGGAACCCCCGGCCCCATGCACGAATTTTGTAAACCAGGCCTCTAGTATCTCAATAAAACTGGGGGGGAAAAAACAGAAAAAATTCTAAGAGACTAGATCAGTGCACCAAAGTATTAATTGTATGTGTAAAAATAAAATTATAGCGTTCCACAAATGTTCTCACTAAAGAAGCAGTAAATGTATATGCCCAAAACATCTTAATAAATCTGACTAAAGAAAGTACATATTGATAATTAAATGATTTAAACTTCAGGCTAAATGTTGTTCTTTGGCTGATATTTCACAGCTAACACAAACCATTGAGAAGATGGAATTTGGCATATGACTCTCACATACAAGCCCATTAACAAGCCTATATCAGGGCTCAATCAAACTGAGCAAATACTTCTAGAAATTTCCCTTGTGTGTTTTATTCAGTTATTAGGAGAATTCAAAGCCTCAACTCTGCCACATATATCCAGCCCAGATGCTCAAAGCACTTGATTTTACCCCAGGGCAAAATTCCATATTCAAGACTAGATCTAGAGCAGATGGCCACTCCACCTCTATAATCTTGCTATGCCCTATGAATAAATGAAAGGACTAAGGAAAACACATATTCCACAACAGGACCAGAATAAACATTATTACCATTAATACTACTAATATTTATTAAGTACTTTTGTGTACATGTTACCCTAATAGCTCTGCACAGAATGAGTCCTGGTGATGACAATGTTCCATGTAGAAGCTATGTGCATTCTTTATGCTCATTAAAGAATGAAGATTTGGCCTTCACAGAGTTTTCCATCTCAGCAGGGATTAAGTGTCTAGTACCATTCCTAAAGCAGATATAAAATCAATTCCTCAATAGTGACCCCTATTATAGGTCAGTTTTGGGGGGATAATGAATGATAACACCCTCTTTTCACTTTGGCTATAACCTACTTGAAGCAAGAAGAAAAATAGAAGAGTTCACAGTTACATGTTAATTTATGTGGTACATACAATAAATATTTAGGAGATAAATGAGCGTACTACTACTACTACCTATTACTAGCTGGCACTTAGATAGCATTTCTGGTATATTGGGCAAGGCTTTATCTGTGTTAACTTATTTAAATGATCATCTCAGGTATATTCCATTATTACACTCATTCCATAAGTGGGGACACTGAAGTACAGAGGATTAAGTCACTTGCCTGAAATAACTGACAGAGTAGGGCTCTTACTTCTTAACCACAAAGTTAAAGAAAGGACTCATGAAAGAGGGAGGCATTGAACTAAATATGTAGAATTTAGCAAAGAGGAAAAGGTATGCCAAGAGAGAGGCAGACTTGAGCAAAGGCAGCAATGAGCACAACATGAATGGAAGATGGAGTGCAGTGGGAAGGAAGATTCAATTCTGAGCAGGATAGGGTCAAATTATTAAAAGTCTTAAATTAAAAAAAAAAGTTTAAAAAGTTCAAAAAGGCAGTACAATGAAAATTAGTTCATTATTTCATCTTACTAGAAAGCCATTGATGGTATGTTGCTTCAGATGGTTACTCCTGAGCATGTCTATGTCCTAGGGTTATATGTGCAAAGAAGAGAATGATATAATCTCATTCCTCCAAACCAATGATCCAGCCTTTGCCAATGTTTCTAGTTTTGACATTAATTTGCTGGTGGCTCTTTACTATAAAAACTTTAGGCCCAGGAGGAGAAACCAAGATGGCGGCATAGGTAAACAACTAAACTGCTGCCTCGCACAACAATTTCAAAACTACAACTAAAAGACAAAACAACATCATCCAGAACCACAGGAAGGCTGGCTGAGTGGAAATTCTACAACTAGAAGGAAAGAGAAAAGCACACTGAGACTCAGAGGAGCTGCAGAAAGCAGAGTTATGGAGACATGTGCATGGAGAAGGCTGGCAACTGAGTACGTACGTGGCTGGGCTTTATCAACCAGGAAGGAGACAAAGGCTCCCAACTACTCTGAACTCCAGTTCTGGGTGAGACTCTGGGGACCCAGACTCATTTGGGAAGAAACTACTGTCAGGAAAGAGAAAAGCATACTGAGACTCAGAAAAGCTGCAGAAGGCAGAAATATGGAGACTCGTGTGCAGAGATAGTTGGTAACTGTGTATGGGCTGGCTTTCTCAACCAGGAGGGAGACAGAAACTTCCTACTGCTCTGAACTCCAGTTCCGGGTGAGACTCTGGGAATCCATACTTAGTTGGGGAGAAACTGGATTGTCAGGCAGTGGGATAAACTTAAGGGCGGCTTTCTCTCTGAGGTGCTTGCAGCAATTACCAAGGGACACTGAGACCTCAGGGGCCTCTTAGGGCAGGGCTGATGGGAAACCATGCTGTCTGCTCAGCCCTGAGACTCTGCCCCATTAAAGGGCACGGTTTAACTTCATTTTATAAAGATTAAATTAAATATTTTATATATTTAAGTAAATTTCTACTGATATGATATGCTAGTTTTTAATACTGTAAGCCATCAGAAGAAAAAAAGTGGTATGTGAAACTTTATCTTTTCCAAGATTGCTTAAAAAACGAACACTGTAATTTCAGAAGAAAAGAGTTCCTCTCCCACTATAGTCAAACTTATTTTTAAATGCCAAAAGGATAATTATTAAATTTTCACATTCCTAATGGAAATTTAATATCATTAGCTAGTGATCATTATTGCATGCAATTCTGGAAGGTGCTATGTTAATCTTTGTGGAAGCAGAGATTAGTAAAATATGTCCTTCACTTTAAGAAACTGAATCTATCTAGTGGTAATATATCTGTTTGCAAAATATAAGTTAGAATAAATGATACTAAACGGGGGTGTAAACAACTTGCAGTGAGATGAAAAGGGGCAGAGCAATCACAGATTCCTGACTCTCAGTACCTTGTTTCTCTGAACACAGAGCTGCTCCTGCTTGGTTTTTCCAGAGGGGATAAGGGAGGAAGACTTCCTGACTATATGGGCTATAAACACAGACCAGAGGTCTGAAAGCTCCTTATAAACACTTTCAGACAAACCACCTGTTTAGCTCTGTATCTGCCCTTCCTGCATCGCCCTCTGCTCTGGTGGTTCCTTATAGAGTCAACTCTTGAGCGTTTCTTCAGCTTCAGGTAACTTTTGGACTGGCACCCTTTGCAGGCACATGGGCTTGTCCTCCTTTCGTTCTGCTTAAGTCATTTGCCAATCCTCTATGGATTACATGTGGAACTGGGGTTCAGGTGTCTTTTTGCTTGGATGATTTTTCAAAAAGGCAGTACAATGGAAATTAGTTAATTATTTCATCTTACTACCAACCTTGATTATGAGATTACTGCAATTTCACAGCTAAACTGGCATTAAGAAAAGAGTACTAATAATAGAAGGGAAATTTTAAACTCAAGCTATCAAAGTAACTCTTTTATAGAGAAAATTTTCAACAATGTGGCAAGTAAGGTAGGAGAGGATGCTCTGTGGGTTAGGAAAGCTGAAAGAAACTTCAAAGTATTGCCCACATTATCTGAGGCAGGCCACTGCCCACTCTGTCAGAAGAAAGGTACTAGTTAGGAATGCACAAATAATCCAAACCTTCACAAATAAGATGAACTCTTCCACTTTCTCACTGGCTATCTGCAGTTTCTTCTGTGCACATTCCAGGGCCTGCTCACTTTGCAACGCCAATCCTTGAAGCTGCTTAGAAGCTGCTATTTCAATTTCTGCCATTGCAGATTCAGTCTCATTTATTTTTGATAGTAGGAGAGAAAGCTTGAGATCCTGCAAAATACAGTAGTCATAGGATGAAGAATTTTCATAAGCAGATTTGGAAGAGGTAGTTTACCCATGTCAGATAAAGGATTTCATGCCTCTCTATATGTGTATTTGTTTTATTTGGGTAAAACTGATGGTTATATTTATTTATTTTCAACAAAATAGCCTGACCACACAATCTTTTTCGTTGTTAATCCTCACCCGAGATTATTTTTCCATTGATTTTCAGGGAGAGTGGAAATGAGAGGAAAAGACAGAGAAACATTGATGTGAGAAAAATACATTGATTGGTTGCCTCATGTAAGCACCCCAACTAGGGCCTGGGCCAGGGAGGAGCCTGCAACCAATGTGCCCTTGACCATAATTGAACCCAGAACCCTTTGGTCCACAGGCTAACAATCTACCCACTGAGATAAACTGGCTAGAATGTGAGTATATATCCTTATATATTCACCATCAAAATTAATTTATGCTTTCTAAAATCATAAATCTCACATAGCAAATGGAAATACTAAATTAGTTTGTAAGTTTAGGTGTACTTAATTTATATCTACTTGTTATTAACAATAATTATTAACAATAGTTTTCATTTCTGAGGAATTATCAAGACACAAAATCTGTTTCTCTAAAATAGCAGTACCTTTAATGTTAAACAGATTCTTAGTGTTTCATGTGGAGATAAAAGTGTTCTTTACATTTATCTGAAACATTTAGTAGCTCATAATAGTTTGAGGGAGAAAAAATGACAGTTTAAAAAATTAAAAAGACATTGTTATATTCCATTTCTAAGCTAAAATATCCTAAAAGCATACCTTTTTTTCTAATTCCTCTTTAGTTTTCTGATACATCTCTTCATACTGTGACTTCTCTTTAACGGCGACACTAAGTCTTTGCTTTAGTGAATCAATTGATACCTTCTTGTTGGAACACTCTTCAGTCAATGTCTTTACCTAGGAATGAAAGCATAAAGACAATTATTATTGGTAAAGACATCCTAACAGTACACTTTTTGTTTCAACAGAAACCAAATGAACAAATGAATAAGTATAATTTCATTTGGTTTCTCATAAGCAATATCTATTTCAAGTAAAAGATTTGTAGAACTAATATTATTGATGAGAATAATAGTCTTTAAGTCAATAGCAAAACTAAACATTGCACTAAAGAAGTATAAATGCTGGCATGTAGTCTTCCACTTAATAATACAATGTTAGTTTGAACTGTATTTCCTTTAATTACTAATCTAAACCTCCTTCAACAGGAATGGTTGTTTTTGCTTCTTAAATAAGCTAAATTATGGATAATTAATTATTGTATTCTCTAATATGACATGCACTTTAAAGAATAAAAATAAGTGATGTAGCATATTTATTACACATATGAAAGAATAGAGGACATAATTTTTCCTTTTCCACTGAATGCCACTAAAGATATATCATTACTATATTTAAAATAATTATTAAAATTAAAAATAAGGAGATTTAAAGGATAACATTGAAAAACTATAAGGAAGTAATTATAATTTATGTGGCGTGTGGAAGAAAAAGAAAGAAATCCACATACACTTTGTCTTGCTGGTATAAAATTTTCTTCCTTAAATCCATTTGAGCTAATAGATGCTTATATTTTTATTTCCAACAAGTAAAGTAAGGGAGATGCTTTCTCTGGAGTTGATAACACTGAATGAGTGCCAAAGCACAAGCTCATTTATGAGTTATGCAAATAGCACCTTTAATACACACACACACACACACACACACACACACACACCTCTTCACCTCTTAGTTAGAAAAATGTTATTTCTACTTTGGGGTTAGATATTATATAACTATTTTAAATACAACTCTCTTCCTAAATACACTTAAAGTGTATACAAGGAAAAGTATACTTTAAAAAATAATCTTTATCTGAGGATATGCTTAGAGAGAGGAGGTAAATGTGTGTGTGTGTGTGTGTGTGTGTGTGTGTGTGTGTGTGTGTTTAAAAATATATATTTTTACTGATTTCAGAGAGAAAGGGAGAGGGAAAGAGATAGAAACATCAATGAGAATCACTGACTGGCTGCCTCCTGCACACCCCACACTGGGGGGGTCAAGCCTGCAACCTGGGCATGTGCCCTGACTGGGAATCGAACCATGATCTCCTGGTTCATAGGTCAATGCTCAATCACTGAGACAGGCGAGCTAGGCAGAAAAGTATATTTTTAAAAATTGTGGTAATATACTTTTAAAAACTTTTGATATTCTTTGGTTACTACTTTTTTCATTTAAAGATATATGCTTAGTTTTATCCTTAAAATTAGTTTAAATAAAACAAAATGCTGGGAAAAATGTAATTATGTAACCTAGAAATATTCAAACCTTTATAAATTAAACTTGATTATATTCCCATATAAAAATATCATGCTATATTATATATGAGGTTTTAGAGTCATGAATTTTAAAATAAATAGTGTACTTACAGAGCAAATAATGTAATTATGTACTAGTATCCATATGTTCTATGGATATTTCCTATAAATTTCATTAAGAGTGAATATTTGAGTTAAGCAGATAAATACAAAGGGGAATAATCTTTTTGTGTTGGGAAACATATTGATATAAAGACTCATACCTTTTTTTCAAGATTTTCTACCATTTCATTAATGCTCTCATTACTTTCCAAATTTACTTTCTGTCGAAATTTCAAGTCCTCTATTAAATGTCTTTTCATGGTTATATCCCTTTCCATTCGAGACAGCCTTAAAAAGAAAAAAAAAAGGGCATTTTATCAAAAGTGATATAAAATACTTTAAACAGTGATAATATCTTATCCAATGTTATACTTACTGTTAATTGTTAAATACTGTTTGATATTGGTGAAACTGCAAATTAATAAAATAACTTGCAAGTAATAAATATTGCTCTACTGATAAGCAAAATCTATAATCCAATTGTCACTTGTTAATGATAATATTATACATACATTAAAATAAAAAAGTGACTGAAAAAGATAACTAAAATTTATGAAAAGTAAAAATTATTATAATTAAATTAATTGTTGCACTGGTAAAAATGTCAGTGATATTCAGAAATCATCAAAAAGCATAACACTGGTAAGAAATAATTCAATACTAAAATAAATATTAAATTTTATGAGCAAAACTGCTTTATAAATTTCAAGATAGTCTGTTTAAAAATTAATCTAACTTTTTGTGTTTTATCTACTGATATCACTTTTAAGTGATCTTCACATATAATGTAGATTATACATGTATGTGTGTAAATATATGTATTAAATTACTAATGACAGATTGGAATTCTATCTAAACAGGTTTTCACGTCTAAGCTCTAGTATATCAATATCTATAAAAGATATAGAAATAAAAACATTGTGAGACAGAACATTTTAAACCTTTGTTAATAAACATGTAAATTATAAACTTTCATAATCTTCCAGTAATTTTAAATACAAACAAAGCTGTACCTTTTTTTTCCAAATTAGTTTTGTAAGTTTAGGCATTATATCCAATATGAGGATCAATCTACACCTATATCTTTGGTTGAATAATTAGCACATGCTAAAGTTTTTTTTTTGTTCATAATATTTAGGCTTTTCATTGATATTTACTCAAAAGTAAATGTTTACTCTAAGAAGGAAAATCTAACTTTAGATATTCTTATTCTAATTAAAAAATAGCAAATATATTGCCATCAACCATGCTATATGTAATATTCCTTACATTTTCATTTTAAGTATGCTTAAAATGAACTAAGAAAGGAAAACATTTTTTTGACACGTTGCTATTGTTTCTTGGAGTGCATTTCATAGAGTTAACTGCCACTAGGTGGCACCAAATACAATAGATACAAATATGAAAAACATACTTTTCATGCATTTCCTTTATGTGTTCTTCTTTTGCTAGGAGTTCAAATTTCAGAGACTTCATGCTTGATGACTGCTTAGTGAGTTCATTAGTTGCATTCTATATTTAAAATACACATAAATTTAAACAGTCCTTTCAATTTTGTTCTAAAGTAGCATAAAAATAAATGTCATTCTCATGAAGAGAAATTTTCAATTATAGTTATAAATTATATAATATATTTTAAATATTTATTTTATATTTTATATTAATAATACTACAATATACTAAAGATTTTAGATGACATGCCCAAACCATAGAGATACACATCATAAAACAACTGCAAAGAGTACATTCCCAAAATACATTTATGAGAGATGATGGATTATTTTTGTAAAATGTAAATGTGTGATTAAGTATTTTAATGGTTTAATGAGGTAACTTAAAACTAATGCTGGATTTTACTAGTAACTTGTAATAGACTCAATATGGTCACAAATGCTTTGCTGCTCTTCCCATTGAGAAGTGGAATCTGTCCTGGCCGGTCATTTGCTTTGACCAAAAGAATGAGGCAGAAATAAAACTGTGGAAGTATTAGTCCTCGGCCTAAATTCTTGAAGGATGCACACTGTGCCCTCTTTGGAATGCTGCCCTGTCATTTCCTTCCAAAGAGTACAGAGGAGCCGAAACTGGTTTGGCTCAGTGGATAGAGCATCAGCCTGCAGACTGAAGGGTCCAGGGTTCGATTCCGATCAAGGGCATGTACCTTGGTTTCGGACACATCCCCAATAGGGGGCATCCAAGAGGTAGCTGATCAATGACTCTCTCTCATCGATATTTCTAACTCTCTATCTCTCTACCTCCTTCTCTGTAAAAAATCAATAAAATATATATTTTTTAAAAAGAACACAGAGGAAAGACCATTTAAAAAATTGATTAAATTTTATTATTATTATTATCATTTTATTAAATTTATTGAGGTGACATTGGTCAACATGAACATAGAGGTTTTGGGTATGGGTTTCTATGTTACAAGTCTGTATATTGTACCCTGTGCCCACCACCCAAAGTTAAATCTTCTGTCATCATATATTAGAACCCACTTCTTCCCTCTGGCAGCCACTACACTGCTGTTTTGTATTCACACATTTCAGTTTTACATCCTACAAGAGTAAGTCATATAGATTTGATTTCACCATTTGGAGAAGTACTCAGTTACCCAGGTTAAAACCAACCAACGAATTGCCAGGCCCATAAGTGAGGAACTTCCAAGCCTGGTAGTTCCACTTATTTAGAAAGAATGCAGGCATATTAGGGAACCCAGAAGATTATAAGAAATAAGAAACTGCTGTTGTTTAAGCTTCGACATGTTAGGATTACTTGTTAGATAGTAATAGGTAATTGATAAAGAATCTTATGAATACTAAATACTTCTTTACTTTAACATATTAATAATACAACTTATTATTAATGCATTTATACATAGTTACTAGTTTTTCAATGTAGAACAGTTTTGGAGTAATCATTGTCTGCATAGCCTAGGAGCCAGAGATAGCAACTAGAGTGTTAAGAGCCCTAACTTTAAATTCTGACTCAAATTCCAAGTAAGCATGTAATCTGAGACATCATTTAATATTTTGTTTTTTCCACTTACAAAACAATATTAACATACAGGAAGTAATTTCCTAAATTTAGAAGTATTAAACTAATATAAATATGAGAGCTTTAAAAATATTTGTAGTAATTTTGCTAATCTTTTTAGTAACTACAATCAATTTTTTCTATTAGAGCTATGACCAGATTTGACTGACTCGTGCTAAAAAAACATATAAATGTGACAAGATGAAACCATTAATCACATAATGTAAATATAAGTCAAATTCATTAGACAGACTTTAGAATTCTTACTGGTATACTATATGTAAATAAAAAACTTGAAATAATTTTCCAGCCAACCTCCTGGATCACAATAAATAATAAACTGCTGTTGTATTAATTTTTATATTATATATATTTATTTTCTTTAAAAAACCAAGGCTACCTCAACAAGGCAACTGTACTGAATATTAGAAGTTTTAATTAAATAGTTGTGTAATGCAACATAAATATCCATATTTCACATGTTTACTGTCTTATTTCTAGCACTGATAGATGTTCTACACTAGTAATTACCAGATAATTGAAGCTTTTGCTTTAATTATTAATCTTAAATTCTCTTTGGAATGACTGCTTATTCATTTAGAAATATGTGCATCTATGATTACATTAAACTAATGATAATACTTTATTATAGTAATATATCATAAATATCATTATATGAATTATGTCATATTACTATATCTATTATATTGTCACTAAATCATTATGTAGTGTTGCCTTTAAAAGCTATTATGATGACATAAAGGGCTACTTACCCCTACTCTAAATGGTCCCAGACTGCTGCTTTTTAAATTTTACATTTTTACCTTAATTTATTTATATTTCCTTTTTCTCTGTGTCATAATCTCTTGCTTCTGTCAATATTCCTGACTAAAAACAATCATTTAGCCCTTTTATATGCATACCTCTAGACTGCTTCTTCTGGGGTATTTTTTTTTTTTTTTTTTTTTGCTGAAAAATTGGACAAATAAATGTGCTAGAGCTGCATTTAAAATAAAAGGCAACAGGCAGTAAATGAAGCCTGACAATATCTTCAGTGGAATAAATTAAGTGGATTTTAAGATAGTTTTTTTTTATTCTTTCCTGTTTTTAGACTTAAGGCTGCTATTTAGGTGGCTCACATGCTGTACCTCTGACTTCTGGAAAATTGAGGGATTACTGAATTATAACAAATGAAAGAATGCCAGCTTGATATGTACTTTTACCAAGATTTTTAAATCTCACAGGTACTCTATTTGATCCTCAAAAGTCCTTATTAAGCATATAGAAAGGTATCCTGGCTTTAAACCTTTGGAGGAGTGAAATAATTTCCTCAGTCAGGTCCTACAAGAAGTTAATGGACAAAGAGTGATCAACCCAGGTCCCCTGACCCTTTTCCAGTTCTTACTATAGTATACTTATCTGCAGCATGACTTAAAATCTGGAGTGAAATACATACTTCAAAAATGTCACAGAAGTGAGAATCCATCCTGGTTAGAGTTTTCCTATTTAAGTTTATTAAATATGTATTTTTATATTTTCATAGTGAAAGAGTAAGAAAAAGCATAGACTCTGGAGCCAGATAGCTTGAGTCTGAATCTCAGCCCTATCACTTAGAAGCTGTATGCCTTGGACAAGTGAGTTATTCTCTCTGTGTCTCAGTTTTTTTTAATTGTAAAATAGAAATATTAAAACTTTTCATATAGGGTTCAAATGAGAATTAAATGAGTTGATATTTGTAAAGGACTTAGAACTAGCCTGGAAATAAATCATATATAATGGAGTAGTAGTTGAAAAAACTATTCTTCATTATTAACACACTGGGAAACTGGAAGATAGCATAGCATGTACAAAAAGGAATGTTTTCAACTATTATAAAATCAAAGAATCACAAGTATAAAGTGAAGTACTATTTAACCCAGACTGCATAAAGAACTTCAAAATAAACTAAATATAACTACTATAACCAGAGGAATTTATAGGTCTCTAAATATTTTATTACCTCAATATGAAGTTGGGTATCTTGGAGAAACATGTCTAATATGGGTAAACCAAAATGCACATGAGCACTCCAATTACTGAATGAACCACATATATCTAAGAAGTACACCTAAGAATTTGCATAGAAAAGCCTAAAATTAATAAAATTTTTAAAAGATATATATACTAGTAGACCTTTAAGATATTCAAATCCAACCAGTTTTTCTTAATTAAGCATTTAAACTATCGGCTAGAAAATAAGTTATTTCTTGGAAAATTTTGTTAGCAATTTGATACCTACTATAGGCTGAACAAAGTTCATATGTTGAAGTCCTAACACCTACTTCTTGAGAATGTGACTATACTTGGATAGGATCTTTAAAGAGGTAATTAAGGTAAAATGAGCTCATATGGGTGGGCCTTAATCCAATATGTCTGGTGACCTTATAAGAAGAGATTGGGACACAGACCACACACACTGAGATACAACCACATGAGGACACAACAAAAAAATCACCATGCAATCAAAGAATAAAGGCCTCAGAAGAAACCAGTTTATACCTTGATCTTGAACTTCTAGACTATGAAAAAATAAATTTCTATTATGTAAGCCACCTCATCTGTGGTATTTTGTTATGGCAGCCATAGCAAACTAATACCATATTGAAACAAAAAGTTGTAATAGCAGGAAGTATTATGTATTTAGAGGAAACTGATAGAGTATTTCCAGATTGAAACATAAAACAAGACCAAAGCAAAGATTTATCCGTTTTGTCCCCATGCAGCCTGGTTAGTGTTCTAGGACTCCAGGGTAGATATAGACAATGTCACTTCAAACTTACATCAAGCGTGATCTATTGCTTTAGGCATTCTCATTAGTGTCACCTTTGTGACTCACATATTCCTCCAAAGTGAGAGATTATTTGTAGGTGGGTAAAAACTTACACTATGAGAGACTTAATGTAAATAATATAGATTTTCATATGGGCCTATTATTATCAAAACTAGGTTAGACCATCAGTCGGCAAACTGAGGCTCTCGAGCCACATGTGGGTCTTTGGCACCTTGAGTGTGGCTCTTTCACAAAATACCTCGTGCGGGCATGCACGATTCGAAGGAGTACCCTAATTAAGAAAATAACAATGTACCTAACTATATAGTTTAAGTTTAAAAAATTTGACTCTCAAAAGAAATTTCAATCCTTGTACTGTTGATGTTTGGCTCTGTTGACTAATGAGTTTGCCAACCACTGGGTTAGACCATTAGCAGGTAGTAAAATGATATAAATAAAATATCAATAAATGGAAACCTATTAGCAATTTTAAAGTTTTGAGAAATCAGGTTAGACATTACTAGATTTAACATTCTATTTTATTTTGGTGAAAATTAAAGTTATGTAAGGAAAATGCAGACTTAAATATAAAAAGAATCACAAAACTATGAATTAAAGATCTATAATAGATAACAAAAAAATTTTTCACCCTAGCCAGTTTGGCTCAGTGGATAGAGCAACAACCACAGATTAATAGCCTCTGGGTTTGATTCCAGTCAAGAGCATGTACCTGGGTTGCAGGCTCCTCCCTAACCTGAACCCCTGGTTGGGGCGTGTGCAGGAGGCAACCAATCAATGTGCTTCTCTCACATTGATGTTTCTGTCTCTTTCACTCTCTCTTCCACTCTTCCTAAAAATCAATGGAAAAATATTCTTGGATAGGATTGACAAAAAAAAAAAAAAAAAAAAAAAAAAAAAAAAAAAAAAAAAAACCACAAAAAACCAAACAAACAAAAAACAACAACAATAAAATAAAAATCTCAATGATTTTATCTTGTATATAGAAACCTACACACTGGAATGCTCTATTTATATGTTATTTTCCACTTTTTCAGACACAGAAATACATTTTATTATTTTATTATTTTTATTTTTTTAAATCAATCTTTGTTGTTCATATTATTACAAAAGTTTGTCATTTTTCCCCCCTCCACCAGGTTCCCACCCCCATGTACCCTTCCCCCACCCCCCATTGTCCTCATCCATAGGTGCACAGTTTATGTTCAGTCTCTTCTCACATCCACCACTCCCCTTTTCCCGAGAATTGTCAGTCCACTCCCTTCCCTTATCTCTGATTCTATTATAATCAACAGTTAATATTGTTCATCAAGTTTTTTAATTTCCTTGGGTTATTTTTTTAATTAATAAACTTTTATATTTTTTAAGAATAAATTTTAAAATCTAATAATTTTAAACCTTGTTTTTTTCTGCCCAGGGAACTGAGAAGCAAACTTGTTTACATGTAAACTTGCCCTTAGGTTATCAAAAGGTGTAGCTATTCAAATGTAAATGAACACATTGTTTAAAGATAGCTGCTGGCTGGAATCGGATTACCTGTTCTGGATGGGAAGGGCTTGTCCTCCACTCTCTCCATTAAAATTAAGGTGTTAGCTTTAAAACCTCTTTTTGGCAAGAGACCTTAAACTTACAGAACTTTAAATTTTTCAGGTAGCAAATCAATTACTTAGCATTTTCTCAAAACAATAATACCTCCACATTCCCAAGGATACACTTCAAACAAAAGACATTTCCAAATAGATCAACCAACCTCATCCAGACCCCACACAAAGCACTCACAGATCAACACCCCAGCACTACAACAATTCAACACATCCAGATTTAAGCCTTCATCACTTGATTCAGCAGACCCTCAAGTTCCCCCAAAAGTTTCCAGCCATGTCTGAGAAGCAGCCCTGGGGCATGGGCAGGCAAGGAGCAAGCTGTTCCGGCCCGGCTGCTGCCATTCCAGGCCAGGATCCTGTTGCTCCGGGCTTGGCTACTCTGGGCCTGGCCGCTCCCTGTCTGGCTGCTCCGGGCCTGGCTGCCCCCGCTCCGCGCCCAGCTGCTCCAGGGCTGGCCACTGCTGCTCCGAGCCCCAGAATACATTTTAGAAAAGATACATGCACCAAAGCCTAAAACTATTTTTCTCACATTTCTATTATGTAAGATATTTAAACTTATAAAATGTAGTGGTTGAGGCAAGTTCTGTACATAAATACTGTGTAAGGAATATTGTATTTAACAAGCATCTAAAATAACTCATGTGTATATCTGATTATTTAAAAAGCAAAATATTTTCAAGCAATGATATATTCATTTACTTTAAAGTCAATCATATTTTATCTTATTAGTAATTGCTCATTTGAAGACATTATTGAAGAGTACACACATATTTTAATTGACAATGACTGAGATATTTGACAATTCAGTATTTAATGCCCTCTTAATAGTCATAGTTATTTCCAATCAGAATTTTCTTTCCATCGCTTCTCCTTATAATAATGGTACATATACATTGCCCCTTTAGCTTCCAGCTAGAAATATCCACTGAAGAAAATATGTGATAAATAAATGTGTATTATTAAACAGCAAGGTAATTCTTATTAAATTAAGGTCAGCCTTACTTTTAAGTTGTTGACAGTTTCACCTGGACTTAACTCCTATTTTTTAAAAGTATATTTTATTGATTTTTTACAGAAAAGGAAGGGAGAGGGATAGAGAGTTAGAAATAGTGATGAGAGAAACATCAATCAGGTGCCTCCTGCACACCCCCTACTAAGGATGTGCCCGCAACCAAGGTACATGCCCTTGATCGGAATCAGTCCTCAGGCCAACACTCTCTCTACCCACTGAGCCAAACCAGTTAGAGCAACTACTATTTGTTATAAACAAAAGGAACACTGCTTTTTAATCTTACTCTCAGGTTTAACGTTCTGAAATCTATTAAACCCACCCACCTCTGCTCTGTACTTCTCCCTCCCCTCACTTGCCTCCAGCTCCCTCACCTGCAACCAACAACAACCAAAGTAAAATAATAGCAAGTGTGTAAAGGGAAGCATTCTACTTATGTTGCTAATTACATATTTGAAAGGAATTCTGTTCAGTGTAGGGAGGAATGGGGGTGGGCAGAGAGAAGTTGAGCAATAGAATAGAATGATAATGTTCAGTTTTCATCATCTCTCAAGTTAGGATGATATCATGGGATGTTGTCATTTTTTTCTCTCAGAGAATAGTATTATGAATTACTAGATAAGAATCTACCTGGCTAAAATAGAAAGATGAGGTCAAACAGTTTTAATAATTTTTTGATTATTTATACAATAATTTACCTTTGTTACTAGAAATAAATTAGAATACAAGTGTCTTTAAAATTCAGTAAATGAATATATTTTCATCTTTAATAAAAATTATAGTCACCTTTAGTTTGCACTGTAATTGCTTCATTTCCAAATCCATGCTCCTTGAAGGACCAAGTGAGGTAACTTGTATCCGTGGAATTGTTACCTGGGAAACTTCTGCAGAACTTGTGATTTCAGATGAGGACTCCAATTTCTTTAATAAGTCTTCTTTTTCTTTCCGAAGATCAGCCAAGTCCAAATTTAGCTTCTTTAAAAAAAGAAAAAGAAGAAAATGAAAGTAAGTTACATTTGGTCTAACACTTATCAGCATAATTCTACAAGCAGAAAAATGCTAAGGAAAAGAAATAAAATGAATTATAAAATAGCTATTATAAAATTTATAAGCTCTATGAGTTTTTTTCTTAAGGTTGTAGGGCTTGTAAAGGTTAAAACAAAAATGGACCAGCTGTACTCAATAGCTTTTGGCTGGCTGGCCTTCACTCATGATGTGCTATTTCTATGGCTTCACATATATATGGGTGAGCCAGAGATTCACATATGTGATAACCTTGACTTCAGGGCTGATGTACTTAACTGGTAAAAGCCAAGCTGGAGCAGGACGAGATAACAGATGTTAGTTGTTTATTCCACAGGGTAGGTCTTACCATTCTATATAGCAGCCAAAATGCTTCTCATTTAGCAACATAAATGTTAAGTCCAATTAGCAGAAGAGGCTTATTAGAGATTTAGATCAAATAAATAGCATATAAACAAATTTGCTCACTCTTATGAACTTGATTGATAGTTGACAAGTCCTCTTTGTAATGTTGAGGTAGACTGCACTAAACTCCTTACATCTGAATTTTTAATAACAAGCATTTTACTAAATGACATACTGGCGATGTTTTTATGAAATCATGTAGAAGAAACTGTTTTAATGTTATCCCTGCTCACACCAATCTGTAGTCAGCAGAATGCCACCAAGCTGTAATGGCATAGCAACCCAGAGCTCCTGAAGAGGATAACTGCACTATTTTATTATTCCAAAGAAACTTATAATATGGCAGTTTAGCATAAGGAACAAGTAGACAAAATGGTACTGAAATCTCTCAGAGGGGGGAAATCTGTCTTTGTTAAGAATTCTAATTTAGAAACAGCAAAAGATATAGCTAATGTGCAGAGTAATATAAGACATAATAAGTATGAACACTATATTTAAAAACTTCTAGAAACTATACAAATAAATCTGTAATTGCATATTTATCTATGTATGCATGTGTATACTGTTAAATATGAGTATTTCAGATCGTTGATTTAAAACTAGGGCTCAATATATTTGATATTATACTAGGTTTTCATGAAATAAAAAGTATGCTTGCTAAAAAAAAATTTCTTTGGTTATATTTTAACTTATGATCTAAAATATGTTTCTATGGAATCTCAAGAAGAATTCATTCATGAGTCTTCCCAAAGATACATAATAATTAATATCTAAAAGCAAACTCATAATATCCCTAAAACCGAAAATCTTACTGGTTACCATCCAAGCTTGTATCTATCTCCCTCCCTACTTATTGATTTTCTATGTCCAATCAATTGTCAGGTTCTACAAGTTATGTAATGTTACTCATATTCATTCCCTGCTGCCACTTTTTAATGGAGACTCTCAATCGAGGACTGCTGGCTCCCAACTTCTTGTCTGCCTTCCTTCCGGATTGCCCCTAATCACTTCTGCCTGCCAGTCTGATCACCCCCTAACCACTCCCATGCCAGCCTAATTGATGTCTAACTGCTCTCCTGCCAGCCTGTTTGCTCCCAACTTCCCTCCTCTGCTGGCCTGGTCACCCTCAACTACTCTCCCCTGCAGAGTTGATTGCCTCCAACTGCCCTCCTCTGCTGGCTTGATTGCCCCCAACTGCCCTCCCTTGCAGGCCTTGTCCCTCCCAACTGCCTTCCCCTGCTGGCCATCTTGTGGTGGCCACCTTGTGTCCACATAAGGGCAGGATCTTTGACCACATGGGGGCAGCTATCTTGATCTTGTGTATTGGAGTGATGGTGAATCTGCATATTAGTTTTTTATTAGATAGGATAGAGGCCTGGTACATGGGTAGGGCCAGCTGGTTTTCCGTGAAGGGTGTCCCAGATCAGGGTGGGGGTTCCCTTGAGGTGTGGGACGGTCTGAGTGAGGGTCATGTGCTGGTTTGCAGGCCAGCCACGCCCCCTGGCGACCCAAGCTGAGGCCCTGGTATCTGAGATATATTTATCTTCTACAACTGAAACTTTGTAGCCTGGAGCAAAGCCAAGATTACTGCTCACTCTGTGGCAGCAGCCATTTCTATTGAAATTTATGTATCTTCTATAATTGAAACTTTGTAGCCTTAAGCGGAGGCCTGGGCTGGCCAGGACAGGTGGAAAACCTGGCTTCCTCTGTCACCAGGGGCAACCCTAGCCTGCTCTCTCCAGCTCCGTGGCTGCTGCCATTTTTCATGGGATTTGTCTTCTATAATTGAAACTTTATTATATCTTTGAGTGGAGGCCTGGGCCAGCCAGGGTGTGTGGAAAACTTGGCTTCCTCCATTGCTGGGGAACCCCAAGTCTCCTGATTGCTCTGTGGCCGCAGTCATCTTGGTTGGGTTAATTTGCATACTTGCTCCTGATTGGCTGCTGGGCATGGCTTGTGGGTGTAGTAGGGGTATGGTCAGTTTGCATATTACTCTTTTATTAGCTAGGAGGATATAGATTGTTGACAGTATTAGAGATGTTTCCTATTTCTCCCCCTTGTCTCTCTCTTCAACTAGCCTTATCCTTCATTCTTTTTATACATACTATGTAGTAGGAAAGGTACTAACTCTGTTTTCAATGATAAAAACTAAGCCTATTCTTGCCTTTAGGTAGTTACCAGTCTATAACCTAGAAATATATAAAGAAATAAAACAGAGACTAAGGGAACTGCTGCTGCCTTTAACATTTGTCTGTTAAGTGCTTGTTATAGCCAGTTTCCTTCCATTTATCCCTCTCAGTTCTTTTGTCAAATGTCTCCTCGATGCTAGATAGAACATTAAAGACCACAGCTACAAAAACCACTCCTATGCTTTCCAAAGGGGAAGGATCACCAATAAACTGAGGGCAGTCCTGAGAAGATCAAGGGTCTCTCCTCCAGGCTTGGTAAACGTTTTATTTATTTATATTTTTTATTTTTTATTTTTATTACTTTTTAATTTTATTTTTTATTAAGTTATTATCTGTGTACATATTTTAACATTGCCCCCCCAAACATTTTAATGTTCAAGAATGAATTATCAGAAAAAAATCAAACAAGGCCCACAAAAAACATTTTATTCTACAGTGCAAGTGAAAAGAAGTAAAGGAAATGAAAGGCTTTTGTGAAAAGTAAAGGACTTAAAAATTAAAAATTGTTCCATTTTAGATACTCTCAGATCTTGATGCCTCCAAAGAAGAAAATACTCAATATTTGCCTATTCAAGAACATGCTACTAGTTGTGACACATGTAATTAAAATGCTTTTGAGTATTCAACTAGTTTAGGAGCAGTGTTCCAAGGGAAAGAAATAGGATGTGGTATAGCTCTTTACTTCTAATAAGAGGCAGATTCTGACCTAACATTTTTTTGAACAGTGGCCACACTATAGCATTGAAAGACACTATTCAGTTCTCCCCATATGTTTTTTACCACTGGATTAGAAACAATGTAATGAGCCATTTAAAAAATTTGGAAAGCATTTTTAGTTTGGATAGTGGGGACTTAAAAGGAGACACCTGGAAATTCTAAAAAAAATCCATCTAATTGTGAGGTTGAATGTCAGGGTCACAGGAGCTGGATTTCTGGGAAGTCTACAGAGGAAATCATTAGTGGCAGAAGGATTCCTTCTAGTCCATGCTGGGGCAAAAGTTAGATGTCAAATGTTGGAAAAGATCAATAAGTGACCAGAATTAAAAATGAGGGTCAGTTCTCATCTATAAGAATGTTGGCATCTGTTATTTTCTTTCCCCTTTTGAAACCCAAATACCTTGACATTCTAAGTAGGAAAAGCAATCATTAAGTGGAAATAATCTGTTTCCAATTTTTTACCAAAATCTTTAATCTTGAATTCTGCATACGACTGAGAACATTAAATGAAGGTATTTCATGTTAAATACATAAATTCATTTATATCTCACAATAAGATTATTCTGGTTCATACTTGAGTAGAAGCAGTAATTTTAATTAATTAATTATTTTTTTATCCCATAGAGGAAGGGAGAGGAAGAGAGAGAGAGAAACATCAATGATGTCAGAGAATAATTGATTGGTTGCCTCCTGCACATCCCCTACTGGGGATCAAACCTGGACCCTTTAGTCCACAGGCCAATGCTCTATTTATTGAGTCAAACCAGCTACAGATAGAGCAGTAATTTTAAAATCTTATTATTGTGATTTTTAAAATTTATAAAATCATAATTTTGTTACCAGAATCAAAATAAAAGACACTGAGAAAACAATATCTATGTAAATCCTATGCTCAAGAATCTCCTAGAAAGTAGTCATCCTATTAATGATCTTTCTCCCTCTGTGAATAGAATCAATATTCTTTCATTGGGAATATTATTCTTTTTAAAGGAACAAAACTAAAAAAAATTTTTTTGTGCATTGTACATATATAAGACTAAAAGTATAGTCACTTAATTAAAACATTATATGAGATACAAAGAAAATTACATGGGTTTTGAGGTCGCTAGGAGAATATTTTCCATACAGGGACTTATCTACAAAAATAAATGGCTCAGATTAATAACTCTTTCAAATTAGTAACAAGTGTTTTACACTTAAAACATGAATTTTCCTTTGTTATGATACTTGAGATCTTTCAGGAAAGGAATTAAAATTTTAAACCACCAACCAAAAAGAGGAAAAAGAACAAAAATCTTAGGCAGATATGAGATTATTTATATAAAAATTTCTTATGAAAAATATACTGAATTACTACATCACCCATTTATAAACCATTTTCTGACAAATGCAGTTATTAAAAGCCTACAAGATGTTTCACAAAATGTCAAGCAAATGAAGGTAAGCTAGAGGACTTTTTACCAATGCTTTGCTAGTAGTTAGACTTCAGTAGCCTTTAGAGACCATTAAGTACCCTTTGGCTAATTGGCCAATGGTAGATTAATCCTCTTTTTATTCTAGCAGCACTATTTAACACCCTTTACACTCTGTCAGTATAGTGTTTGAATGACAAAATAATATTGTGCATGAATAATAAGCAGA